AGTGTTAGGACGAGAACCCCAGCTAGAGCTACAGCAATAAGCAATATCGACCTTTTTTTCTTTCCCACAGATGGACACGCATTCTTCAATGGAGACCCACATAGGTTGCTGTTGTTTGCAAATAATGAGGGATCATTGAAGTGAGTACCTAGGGTTTTCGGGATTTCTCCTTCAAGATGATTAGAAGACAAATTTAAATATAGCAAGGTGGGAATATGGGTGATATTTTCTGGAATGGAGCCACTCAAATTGTTTGATGAGAGGTCCAGCGTTCTAAGGTGTAGCAAATTTGATAATGAACTTGGTATGGAACCTGATAAATGATTCGAATCCAAGGCCAAATACTGCAAATTAGAGGAATTGAAAATCTCATCCTGAATACTACCATTCAAATTATTATGACCCAAATTAAGTACCTTCAACTGAGATAACCTTGACAAAGAATTCGGAATATTGCCCGCTAAATGATTCCAGCAAGTTCAAGCACTTCTAACTCTGAACCAATTGCCAAGCTGTGGTGGAATGTTCCCTGATAATCGATTCTCCGATAGAGAAAGGACATCCAAGGACCGGAGGAAGCCAAAAGTTGCCGGAATATCACCAGAGAGTGAATTAGAGCTAAGATTCAAGTATCTCAAACCAGCCAAAACTACTAAATCCCTCAATACTATTCCCCTGTAAAACTATTCTCCTGTAATGCAACAACCTCCAAATTAGGCAGCCCAAATAACTCAGCAGGCAAATTCTCAGAAATATTCTGCTTGCTCAAATCTAAAACTCTTAGCATCATCAAACTCCCAATGCTAGCCGGAATCGGACCCGAAAACCCACAATGACTCATATTCAAGACCATTTAAATTCTTCATATCCCCAATTCTCACAGGAATCTGCCCAGAAAATTTATTAAAAACTAAGGTTCAAAGAAGTCAAATTACTGAGTTGAAGCACTTCATCTTGGACCACTCCAGTCAACTCATTTTCACTCAAATTCAATACTTCCAAACTCTGAATGCTACCCACATCAATATCAATTGAACCCACAAATCTGTTCCTCCCTAATGACAAAACCCTCAATTTATTCAAATTTTCGAAAAACCCGAGGAATTTCCCAGAAAATTGATTTCCTTCAAGATCAAGAACCCTCAACACCCTACATTGTCCTAATTGACCAGGAATTTGGCCAGTTAGAGAATTATTAGCCACTCTAAGCTCCTCTAATCTCGTCAAATTCCCAAAGTTCGCGATAAGTGAACCCGTGAAGAGGTTTCCAGAAAGATCTAAAATCCTCAACGTTGGGATATCCGCCACCCAACTCGGAAACTCGCCAACAATGCGATTCCGTGAACATCTAGAATCTCCAAACTACCCTTAAAAGTACAGCCTAAACCCGGCTTTTGCGACACTGTGAGCGCATTGTTGCTCAGAAAAACAAATCGAAGCGACCTAGGGCTTGATACATTACAGAACACAGAGGCAGGGACCATACCAGAGAGATTATTAGAGGAGAGAGAAAGTACCTCCAGCAACGGCATTGCTCCAATCGTCGCCGGAACATTGCCGGAGATGAAATTGTTCTCTGCCGAGATATGAACAAGCGAGGTACAGCTGAGGATCGCCGAAGCAGCGTTCCCACGAGAAGATTCGAGACGAGCCACAAGTACTGCAGCCACTGAAGCCCACCAATGCTCGCCGGAATCTCACCGGAAAACCTATTTGACGACAGATTGATCAGCCTGAGCTGCGACCCCTTTGAGAAATTCCCGGGATTTGTCCGGAGAATCCGTTGTAAGAAAGGTCCAGCACTCGGACACTATCAGAAATTCCGCCGGGGATTCTGCCCGACAGGTTGTTACCGGAGAGATAACAACCTGAATATTCTTCATCTCGAGAATCCCCGGCGGAACATCTCCGGAAAGGGTATTATTATGAAGGTAAAGAGCACGAAGCAGAGGCAAAGACGAAAGCGAACCGGGAATCGACCCATGAAAATTATTAGAGTGCAGGCTCAACCCCTGCAACTGCTTTAAATTCCCAAGCTCCGCGATATTTCGCCGGAGAGCTGAAGCCGTGGAAGACGGAGGTCCTGAACTTTGCTAAAAGAACAGGTAACACCACGCCAGTCACAGGGAGCAAGTGACGTGGACGCATCCCAGCCGTCTAAAGCGCCAAGTGGGTCATTGAGATTGTTCTTAAAGGCTAGCAGTGAGTCAACCTCCGTCACCGGAGTCGAAACGGCGGAGGAAATGAAGGTGGTGAACAAGAGGAAGACAAGAAAAATAGCCGTTGCCATTAAAAAAGTGGGAAGAAGAAAGTGGGAATAATAAAAATTAGATATAAGAAGGAAGAAGAAGAAGATTGAAGATGTTCATAGTTTATTTGTTTTTGTTTATGTTTTGGAGAACGCAATTAAGGGCAAGACTTCAGACGTTTAGAGTGGAGTAGTGGAGTGTCAAGTGTGAAGTGTGGTTTTTTATTTGGTAAAGAAATCAAGTATGTGCAGTAGCGTAGACGGACTGTCGCAATCTATTTCCCAATAATGTTCCGTATGATTCATTATTATTATACCGTTGTTATACGGAGTACTTTGTACGTAGTATCAATTATTTTACTCCGTATCTATAGAATCAAACAAGTTTTAGTGTGGTTGGTTCGGATTTATCTATTGTGAGGTTACAAAATCAAATTTTGCTGTTTTGATTAGGAGCGGGTTCAATGAGCAGTTTTGCCTTCAAGCCGCTAATTTGAAAACATTGCTTTGAGCTGCGTATTGAAAGAGAGGGTAGCTGATTTGGACTTTATCATATTGCAAAGATAATTGCTAGCCATATCGTGTGGCCATTTAACACACGAGTAACCCTTGATCGATCGAGTAATCCCTGATCAAATCACTCTTGACCGAGTAACCCTTGACCGACTGAGTAACCCGTGACCAAGTAACCCTTGACTAACCGAGTAACCCTTGACCAACCGAGCAACCTCTAACTGGTCGAGTAACCTCTGGCCAACCGAGTAACCCATGACTGGCCGACTAATCTCTGACTGACCGAGTAACCCCGACCATTCTTTTAAAAAAAAGAAATATGGTTGGGCACCTAGGTTGCACAAGGGTACGAAACGGATATGGAAAAACGTATATATCAAAATAAGGGACATGAGTACGGGGTGTAAAATTCATATAATATATATTTTTTTTAAAAGAATTTAATTTGTCTTTCCGTCATCTCATTAGATCACAATCAGCTATATAGAAGAGATCCATATTATTTAACAATTGCTTTTTATCTTACTTTACTTAAATTTTCTCATTAAAAAAATTAAACAACCCATATCATAGTAGGATTCGGTCCGAGACGTATCGTCGTGTGTCCCACGAATGTCAGTGTCTGACACGGTGTCCGATATGAACACGATAGTTAGATGAAATGTCCATATATCCTAGCTGACCACACAATGTGGCCAGCTACTTGTTTTGAAATTTTGTGATCTTTAAAATCTCCCGTTCTATAACGAAAAAATACTGAGTAAAGTGAATCATTAATTCATTATCCATCATAGAGAAATAAATACGGATTTTTCACCATATATCCCTAATTTTTTTGTTTATTCATCATATACCCCTGAAAATTTTCAAATTCACCATATACCCCTAAGTTGTTACAAAAATTCACCATATACCCCTAATAACAGTAAGATGAGTGGAATTTGGTTAATTATGCATCGAAACCACCTTAGATCTCTCCCCCCATCCCCATTGATTTTGGGATGAGAAAAGAAAATTTGGGGTATTTTTTGGAATGGGAAAAAGGAATATAGGATGTTTAGGGGGTAAGGGAATGTATTTAGAGTGGTTTTGGGTCATAATTAACCCTAACGACTGACGAATTTAACAATCATTAGACATTTTGTGAAAACTTGAGGGTATATGATGAATTTAAAAAAGTTCAGGGGTATATGATGAATAAACAACAAACTTAAGGGTATATGGTGAAAAATCCGAATAAATAATGATACGGCGGTCGCTTCCAGGATGCAAACTCGGCTTCATTGCTCCAAGAGTAAGTACTAATTACTTTTTATAAATTAGGGTTTCTTCCCTAACTAACCCTAATGCATTCTTTATATCCAATTTATTATTATGAAATCCACCGTGGTGAATTTCTTCACTTCATATTCAATCAATTGATAATCAATGTCATTGGCTTAATTAGAGTTGACGATGAACAAATAATTCTCCAATTTAACTATACAGTTTTCGCATCAGTAGCTACCCTGTCAAAGGTTTGTCTTAAGCTTTACTACGTGATTTTATAACCTTTTTTAATAGCTTTTGAATAAAAAAATTACTGGTTGATTTTAATTTGAAATCAACTAATTATAATCTATGTATTTGGATTCCCCAATTAATTTTTGTTTGATTTTATTAAATTTGTTTTTCATTATGTTAATGTTAATTATACATGTCGTATGATTTTAATTAATTAAGAAAATATATTGTCATTTAAAACTTCTTTTTTAATATATATATATAAAAAGCCTAATTATTTTCAAGGATCATGATATGTTGCTAATGTAGCCTAATAATTTTTTATTTTATTTTTTGAAAGTAGTATACGATATGGAGTACGTACCTGGTTTATATACTTTTTACGTCTCAAATTTATTGACACATTTGAAATAGGCACGCAAATTAAGCAGTGAGGAGATGAAAAATCAATGGTGAGCCGTGAGCTCTATAGTGTGATCCTTTTAACTTATTATCTAAAGGGTTTAGGGCTATCTATTTCATTACTTCTTGTTTGATTTATTTGAGATTAAGGTTCTGATATATATTGTTGTTTTTTCCTATTTTTATCTTTGATTGTTATCTTATAGAGGATGAAGCGAAGGCTAATGAAGGATGATTCTACAAAGATAGATTACTTGAGTAATCTACATGACACAATTTTATGTCATATTTTATCTTTCCTTCCAAGAAAGTTTGCTATGTTATTGTCACGAAGATGGAAGTATCTATGGACCCAAGTCCTGCACTTGATTTTACTGATATGATAACGCGTAATGTAGATGATATGAGTGAAGAGGAGTATACTAATTGCATGAATTTTATGAGTAAAATTCTACTTGAAAATAATGTATCATATCTACGACATTTTTGTTGCTTCTTCAATTTCCACCTAAACCCCAACTCGGAATCATGGATGGATGCTATCAAATGGCGCAACATCTGTGAGCTCGATATGAACTTGTGTGGAGGTGATCCTGTGTTTTTGCCTAGAGAATTTCTTTATGGACAAACACTCAAGGTTTTAAAACTCGGCAACTTTTATCTTGAGGACACACAAAATCCTTTTTATCTATCCGATCTTGTGGATAGTGTGGGGTTTCCAGGAGATCAATTTCTCAAGAGGTTACTTGTAGGTTGCCCTGTACTTAAAGAGCTTGTTGTTCGAGAGGGTTGTGGTTTCGACGACACTATTTACATCGAGTCTTTGACCCTGAAGTCGTTAGAAATAATACAGGCTATTCTACATGTGGAGCAGGTGATTTATGCATTAGTGTTAAAGCACCAAACCTTAAGGTGCATTACAATCTTTCAAAGAATACAGACATTTTGTGACTTTGATGATGTAACGTTGCTAAGTAAGGCAAAGTTTTGTCAAGATGGTTGTTTTCCAGTTGTGACAACTCAACAATCAGCAAAACTTAAGGTAATGTCATCCATCCTCTTGCACTGCTTTGGCAAATTTTACTTGATCGACTTTTCGAGTTGCTTATCATAGACTATAGTTGTGTGATTAACAAAATTGTTTATTTTCTTGTAGAATAAGCTACCAATCTTACAGAACTTGACCCATTTAGAGCTTGAGCTCGAAAATTGGTACGAGTTACTAAAATGTGCTCCTAAGTTGAAGTCATTATGTTTTAGGGAGGTAATGAAGCTCATTATTGTTCTATTCTTCTCCTTCTTCTTAAAATTTAGTGTTTAATTTGATAGTTTTTGAGATATCAAATTGGTAGCTTATATTTGGAAAGCTGCAACAACCTTGAAGGAGATGATAATTAAGTTGAATTATATGATGAGCTCAGAACAAGAGAAAGCTGTTTATCAAATATTATTGAATCTTCCAAGATCCTCTCTAATTTGCCAAGTCAAGGTTAAATATTCAGACGACGATGATCCGTAGTCTAGTACAAATTGATTTATTGATCATACGTTCTCTCTGTAGTCTAGTACAAATTGATTTATTGATGAGAATTTGATCGTTATTTTTGTCAAATATCGGTTGTTCGTATACAATCATATCATCTAGATTAATGTAGTAGAATTAGAAGTGCTAGCTAGAGATATATTCAAGCAGAAAATACCAGTTTATCAATATGATAAACATAATTTGTTTATCAAATGTCAAAATTGTAAATAAATAGAAAACTTTTTATTAAATATGGGTCCCACTGTTGTTGATATATTTACGAAAATGACATGCTAACTGGACATTTATGTTGTTTTATTTACCATTTTGTCATTTAATTATCAAATTGATTAAGTGGAGTTTCCTCATATTCCAAGGCAAATTTCTTATTTCGGGGCTTCATCAGCTCGTGACAGTAATTGAGAACCTAGAGGACCACTGGACCAATTTCATACTTTCATCAGCCTCTATTATGGATTTTAGAATTGCATGCAAAAAAGTTTAGTATTTTAACTTGACCATTAAACATTAACTTAAAATTATTGAATTTATTATAAGCTTTTGCACACCATACTTTGACTAAACATTTTGCTTTATTTTAATTTAGGGTAAAGGTGATGTCAAATGTAGTAAAGATTTATTAGCCAGGTGACATAATAGAGCATCTGTTCTCAATAATCTTATAGATTATTTTAACAAGTCCTTAATTATGTACGTAGTACTTCACGGGAAAAAACTTGTAACTCACTTTATGTTGAACATAACGATGTTAAATTTAACATAGCGACTGGCAAGGACGAAATAATAACAAAACCATGAATCGGTAAATGAAGGGAGATGCAAGAGACAGAGATGAAGATGGTGGGAAAATAAGGGAGAAATTTTGAAAATCACTTTATAAAAGAGAGTGAGTTACAGCGTGAAAAGCAGAAACCAGCCATAAAACAAAGTCAATGTACGGAATCTTGACTTTTTCACCGGAAAAGTGACACAAGATGCTGTTTTTTATATTTTTGTTAAATCAAGGTACTATTTGACAAAAAAAAATTCAATACACAAACTTGACAAAAAACAAGGTAGTTTTTGACAATTTTCCCTTGTTGGTATGATGGATGATATCAATGGTGGCCTCGTGGTTGACTACTTGGTGACCTTGTACTTCTGGAAAATAGGAAAAAAATCAAGTTAAAACCCCAATGATTTAAATGAGTGCGTAAATTATACAAAAGTAACAAAGATGTACAAACCTTGATCTTCTTTAATAGATTTCGGGCATATTCATTGTTGACAAAATGATCTCGGACAGGCTGATAGAAATATGAATGAAGATGTTTAAAACTCTATTGTACTTAACCAATTAAAACAAATGGATTTCTGCAAGATCAAAAATATACCTGCAGAATTTTGTTCAGTGACTTTGTTAATGCAGATTTCAAGTCCTTAGGGTGCAATGCCTCTGCTTCATAATCAGCAACTATTTCTTCAAAGGTAAGGTATGTTCTAATATAGACAGTAGAATGGCAAAGGTAAGTCAAATATAAGAATAGCAAAGTATTTCATAATCAAGACCCAGTAATGGTGCAGGGCTTACTTAGGTCCACCATATGCAGCTTCGCGGTCAATAGTAAATTCCTTGAACCATGGCAATACAATGTATTTCACATATTCTAAACATGGATTTTTCTCAACTATCTTTGGTGGACAGTAAGCTTTCTTAATCTTCAAATTAACATCAGCCTAAGAAATACAGACAAAAATACAATGCTGATCAATAAAAAGTGCTTTTCTTTTGACTATTTATCAGTCAATTTACAGATCAAAGATCTCTCTAGTATCATACCTCCGAATCATCCATAAAAATCGCAGATGACGCATCAGACTTTGACATCTTTTCTTGCCCTTGGAGCAAGCCTGGAAGCATATCTGTGAGCCACCATCAAACAAACTAAAATAAGTCATCAGCGCAACCAATTTATGATCATATTTGATACAACCTAGCTGACATAACTTAAAAGAATACAAAGCAGAAATGCATACGGTGTGATAAAATGATAGGCTTATGCTTTCTTTTGATATCATCACAGTACTCCCGAGCAAGCACATTGACCTTGCGCTGGTCCATGCCGAGCTGGCAGATGTCCGCCTATTTACAAAATTGTATTTAAATATCACAGTAAAAAAAAATAGTTTTCCATATAAAGCAATGAACAAAAGGAATGTTAAGAAGGGCAATTCTTATCATAATAACAAAACAAATATAGAAAAATAGGTAAATAATTGTCAACATGAATTTAACATTTTAACTACATGCAAAAGACAGGGAAAGAACTCAACTATCACAAAAATAACAAACAATTCAACTCTTAATTACAAAGCCTGGTGCCAAGACAAATTACAGGTGCAGAGTTACTAAAGTTGTACTCATTATGCCAACAACATATCAGCCAGCTATAACGCAAACACGGCCTAAACAAAAATAGTTGACAAGGATGTCAGCGGAAAGAAAGAGCATAAACCAAGCAACAGGCCACCAGGTTATAAAATGGTCACTGCATAAGCTAAACATATGACAAAGAGGTTCATTGTTAATAATATTGCAAAATAACATCTATTGAGCACCCTGAATTTGAAAAGAGCAATGAAGGAAAGCGAATCTTGTAGCATATACGAGTATGATCAACTCAGACAAGCATCATCTTCACATGATCACAATTTCTCAAAACATACGCTTATTATCCTACCTTGTATTTGAGTGTTAGTGTGTGCACAAGTTCTTTTAACTCCACTCCCTATAGTGGACTTTAAGGCAGAATATATATGGTACAATTTCAAGAGCTTTGTACATATTACATTAACTTAGCTCCAATTAATATCCTACTTAACAGTACAACTGAAAAAAGTGAGTGAATACTCTTAACAACATAATATAGTGTACCTTCAGGAAAAAGATATCAGCGCATTGCATGCATGGATAAAATATCTGAGCGCCAGTTAAATCTTCTGGGTCTTCACGACCCATAATTTGACAGCACCTACAAGCAAAAGTTGCATGGTCCATCCATAAGCTTAATTACGAGAATGAACTTGATAAAAACTAAATCTTATGGAAACCCCAATCACCTCTGGAGCCTTGGCAGCTTGTTCTTGGCAGCTATATCCATCACAAGAGGCCAGTACTCGTGTGCACGTTCATTGATTTCTTTGGAGGCCCACAAAAACTCAACCTTTCCTGAATCAATATCCATTCCAGCAGCCTTCCAGACTTCAATGAAATAGTTCCCAACATCTTGTATTTTCTTAATATCACCACCCATTTTATTATTAAGTTGGGCAAACCAGTCTGCAATCCACATTCTTACTCTACAACCGGCAGATAATAACTTGTTCACGTTTATTATCTTCATAGCCCCCTGGACATAACAATGGTAACAAGACCAGAAATCCAACATTAGCATAATTCACAATCACAAACCTTGATAGCTCACTAGCCCAACTATAAAGGTAAGGTTAGAAAACACTACAGGCCGGTCACACAATATTACATCAAGTGAATGTGTAGATTGAACATAATGAACAACACCAATACTAAACACAACACACAAGGCCAGTAAATGAACAAAACCCTCGGTAATCACATCATTACTGCAGGGGATGGAACCAATTTTCATGTACCCTCCCAACCTAAAGTAGGACCTCCCAGACCAATGTTCACACCTTCCAGGCAGATTGTGGAGCACCCTCACTACTCAGACCGGCCAGAGCAGAAGGAGCAAACCTCCCATGATTATCGGCCAGATGATGTTATCCTGCTTTGAAACTGGAGGCCACAATCTCACACCTCTCTCTAAAACATCATTTTAACTATAGCTGTTTAGCATCATCGGAGGGGTTCCCTCGACTATAACCTCTGAGGTAGCCAACATTTGTTGCCAGGGACAGGGATCAACCTCGACAAGCACCTCCATATTCTATACTGGAACAATTACTAACAACTAGCTTGTTCGCGTGTATTGTAAAGAATGCCTATGTTAATCAACTAGGTAAATTTTTTAGACCTTGTAACTAAACTCTTAGAGATTTCAACTCAAAAATACAACTCCAACTTAACTAACGTCCCCTTGCAAATTATAATTCGATAGCTTGCCATTGTTATTTTGAAATGTTATTATCAATCTATCAAATTGGCAGCATAAGACAGCACAACCACTCTATGTATTAAATGTAGTCTATGTTATTCTTACTCCTCATTTCACCCCTTATGTACCCGTGTTACATCCTCGACACTCCAACACTAGTCTTAACACTTGAACACGTACCTGTACCCGTACCCACATCCGATATAAATCACCATTCATATAACATAAACTAATCCATTTAAACCCCACCCCAACACATACACAGTAATTCCCAGCTACAAAACAAAATAAAAACACTAAATTTGGAAAACAAAACAATAAAATTAGAATCAAACCTGGGCAATATGCATATGACCAGAAGGTTCAAACCCATCATAGCAAATAGGCTCAGGTTTCTTCGAAAGCAGCAACATCAGCTCAGATTCTTGAATACATTCTTCCCCAACACTCTTAATGATCTCAAAATCGTTCCTCCAATGTCATCCTATTTCATCCAAATCAAGAAAACCCCATTAAAATGAATTCAAATGAAGAGAGAGAAGATGAAGCAAAAGTACAGTGGTTTACCCGGTGGCAGAGGATGGTTCTGCGGCGGCGGTGGTAATGGAGAGAGAGTCGAGCTTCTCCTCCGGCGGACATGGTTGCTCCTGAGCTTTGTCGACCTCCATTGAAGTTGGTGAGTGAAGCGAGGAGAGAGAAAGATGAATTAGGGTTGTCGAAA